CCATCCATCCATCCATCCATCCATCCATCCATCCATTTACCATCATTCTCATTGCACTTGAACGAGAACCTATTGACCCATTTACCTTTCCATTCCATCTATTCATTCATCCATTCACCCATCTACCCACATGGCTGGCTGTCATTTTCTGAGTAAATGGTAAAGAAAACCACAGGATGATAGCATAAGGTCTTTGCCATCCCAGGGAATTCTTTGTCTTGCTTTGAGATAAACAGTTGTGAAAGCACCGTGTGGACTCAAGTAATTGAGTTAGGTGAGGGTCAGTATTAGCCTATGTCCAGAAGGAGACAGATTCTTCAGTTTTAGAGGTCCGTCCACAGAATTCCCGCCATCCCCAATGCTGTGAGGTCAAGCATCTTAGGCTATCCCTGTCTCTAGAAGCCAATGGGGAAAGGCCCATGTATGACCTCAAGACCTTCTCCCATGACATAGTCCCAGACCTGTATATCTTTGTAGCTTATAGCTATTCAGTCAGTCCTTGTCACCTGTCCACTAGTCGATCTATGAAACTAATTTGCTGGTTTATCCTCCTGCCCAGTTATCCAGTCACCCACCGACAACCCTGATGCATGCATCCTCCACCCACTCATCGCCCACCCAGCTGCGTCTTCCCCCAGACCCCGCTGGCCTGCCTCTGGGAGCTTGCACCGCCTCAGCTGCACACCAGTTACTCGCCTGGCTCTCCACTGGTTTCCCCTCCACGTGTCTTTGCAGGGTGATGTTCAAGAGCTCCTCATTGTCCCAGGCGTCCAAGCTGCCTATCAGTCTTGTGGACAGAGGGATCTGGAATGTGAGAGGGCACAGAGAGATGGACCTCAGGTTCAGAAGCCTCACAGAGCCCAGAGATCTCCAAAGAAGCAGCCAGCAAGACTTCATAAGCCGCAGAGCCAGGAGCCCCAGCAGCAGGTGAGGGAGTCGGGCAGACAGAAACTGCAGCATCGTGGGGTGGACACTGGGCTTCTCCAGGGCAGTTCCCACAGCAGCCCAGGCCGCTCCATCCCATCATTGCATACTTCCCTTTTCCCATCATGCCCTTCTCTCAATCCCCAGTCATCAACTTTTTATTTTTATTTAAAAATAAAAAGAGTCGTTATGAAGAATCCCTGGTGGGAGCTGTGTGCAGCTACCTGTGTGCTATCTTCTTCCTGTCTGCCTTGGGCTTCCCATCCCTTTCTTGAATTAAGAGATTGGGAGACAACAGGGGGCAGGTGAGCCCCTGGGAGAAGGGGGAAGAGGAGAACAAGGAGGAGGAGGAGGAGGAGAAGGAGGAGGAGGAAGAGGAGGAGAAGGAGGGGGAGTTGGAGAAGGGGGAGGAGGAGGAGGAGAAGGAGGAGGGGAGGAGGAGGAGCGGAGGGAGAATGAAGCTGAGGTGTGGTACCCAGTGGGAGTGGTAGGGGGTAGTAGGGGTGGAGGGAATCTCAGAGGTGGCTGGTCTGTGGAAGTGTGGGGAAGGGAAGAGAAGGTCTCTGGCTCAGCAAGTGCCTTTGGGTGTGGTGGGAAGAGGGATGACAGCCTGGGTTGGGGACCTGGTGTTTGGGGTGACGGATGTGTTCCTGGGACCGTCTGAAGCTTGGGAGGCTCAATCTCTTAATCATGTCTGCTTCCATCCACATGGGGAACCCATGCCCTCTCTTCTCACCTCTCCACTCTCTCCTTCCTCACTGTCACCCTCTCCTTTGCTTCTCGACTCTCATTCTCCAATCCACACCCATTTCCCAACCCCCACTCCATCTCCTTCTGCCCTCCTGCCCCTCCCACCTCCATCCCCGCCCCCGTCCCATCCTGTCGCCCCCCTTCCTGCTCCCAGCCTCTCTATTATGACTACGAACCCCCCTATTACGATGTGATGACTACGGGGACGGCCCCTGATTACCAGGTAACCTTGAGCTTCCCCCTCACCTCTCCCCTTTCTCCCAGTACCCCCCTCCCTGTCACTGTCTCCTGTGCTAAGCCCCCGTCACACCCCCCAGTTTCTGGGAGAGATGCTAGCTTATGGAGGTTTACGTGCTCACTGCCTGCCTCCTGTCTCTCCACTGCAGAGCTCCAACCACAGGGCTCCCCCTTCCCCTAGGGGGCGTCGGACCCCTCCCCGAAAGTCTAACCCTCCTGCCAAGAGGTCAGCTGCCAGGCAGGCGCTCCCCTCACCAGCCCGGAGGCCTTCTCCAGCTGGAGGCTCTGGCAAAGCCCGAGGCCAGCCTCCCCCCTCCCGACACCCAGCTCGACGGGCAGCTTCCCCCGCTGCCAGGGCCCCCCCCCAGGACCAGAGGCAGCGGTTATCGGCAGGTAGAACGGGGCATCCAGATCTTTGCCCCCAATTTAGAGACATGGAAGATACAGTCTCCTCAAACTGTCTTCCTCGAAGGGGCTGCAAGATCTGAGATTTTCCCCATCCCCCATCCCAGATCCTGGCGGTGGGGATAGGCTGCAGCTTTGCTTTCTTTCCTGCTAAACTCTCCTCTCTCTCTCCCCCCCCCCCCCGCTCCTTTCCTCCTCCCCTCGGGGATAGTACCCCACTCCAGGTGAAGAGGAAGGAGCCCTGGAGTCCAGTCCCTTGCCATTCCTTGAAGAGGTAACTTCACCCCGAGCCTATTCCAGCTGAAGGCCCTGCCCCCTTAGCATCTTGATGAGCCACCCCTCCCTGGCCGGAGGGCTCTTTATGTATCCACTTAGGGCTTAGGTCCCTCCAGTCCTGCCACCTGCTTGTCTCAGTGTGGCCATTTCTTCTGGTGTCACTGCCTCATCATTATATTTTGACTCAAGTCGATTCTCTGCTCTCTGTGCCATGGCGCCATTCTCGGAGGATCCATTTTCGGTCAAGCACGCCCACCCTTTTCTTCTCTGTCTTTGGTCTTGGATTCCCCATCTATCATTATGTCCATGGACAGTTCTGTGTCCAGCCCTCCGGCCACCCTTCTTGTTCTCCACCATTTCCCCAACCACATCCATTTCCAAACATCCATTTTTGTGGTAGACAGTCATTCCTTTCCATTCAGTCCATCGCCTTGCTCATTTGAGAAAGAAAACTCCAGTCCCAGTCATCCTCAGGGTCCTTTGGACTAGAAGTTATCAGACTCTGGGGTCCAGAGGACGCCCCCTCTTAGGCCTAATACCCCCACCTACTCCCTCTCCCTCCCTGTCCTTGGGAAGGAACAGACAGATCTTCAGGTGTCCCCAACAGCCGACACTTTCCAGGCAGAGGAATATGGGGAGGGTGGCACAGACGCGCCAGCAGGGATCTACGATTACACCTATGGCTATGGGGATGATTATCGTGAGGAGACCGAGCTTGGCCCTGCCCTCTCTGCGGAGACAGCTCACTCAGGAGCCGTAAGTGAAAGCAGCTCCTTGTCCAGCCTTCGCCCTCAGGGGTCACTACGTGGACTGCTTCCTGTTTGATCCTTGTTGGCTGTGAGCTGCTTCCTGTCTGATCCTCGTTGGCTGTGAGCTACTTCCTGTTGGTTTGTCACAGTCTCTTCATGTGAGATGTCTGTGTTGCTTGAGATGATCACTTCCTGTTTTCCCCTGTCAAATGTCTTACCCCGTGCCTCCCGTAGATCCTCTGCCCGTGGCAACTGGACTCTTTTCAATCCCGTGGCCACTTCCTTTCTTTCTTGGCTACTTCTTGTCTAAATTGAGATGGATGTTATAAACCTGTTCATCAATCAGCAACTGCCTTGTGTCTACTTTCTGTCTGTCTCACTCATCTCTTGCTCAAAACAACTTCATGTCCATGTTGATGCCAAAGTTTCTAACTTCCTGTGTGACATTTTCTAAACTTTGGGACCATTTCTGATCTGTCTTTCCCCATCTTCTGTAGCCTTGATGTCTCTTTTGGCGACATTGAGAGGCTGGGCTAAAAGGGATTGTTTGTTTTACTGCTGTCTTGTAGAAATTTTCTTAGATCATAAGCTACTTCCCGGGTACCTTAGATTATCAAAATTACAAGGATATGCATTGTGGGCCTAGATATTTCTCGTGGCCCTTTCCTGTGTGCCCTAGCCTTGATGTTGGCGTTTTTGTTTTTTTTTTTTCTGGATCTCGCCTTTCAGCCTCTTAATTCTTTTTGCAAGAGTCACTTTCTAGTTGTTTTGTGAACTTCTGTTCTCTCTTGGTCATGGTCGCCATGTTGTTTTTGAAGGTCCATTTCCTGGATTCTTTTTTCTTGCCTGCTTCCTGTCTCTCTAACCACTTCCTGTTTGTTCAGTGTGTTTTCTAGCCATCTTGGCCATGTTTCATTTTTCTTGGCTCTGGCATCAGTCTTACTTCCACGCGGGTGTCCCTTTGTTTTATCTCCTTGGTGGTTTCCCAGGTCTTCAAACGTCCCTGTCTGTTGGACGGCTTCCCGCTGGCCCCACTTCGTGCTTTGCCTGCATTGCTGTCATGGCTGTCCCCTTGCTGCTGCTACCCAACTCTGTGCCCGCCTATCTGATACTGCCACCTTTGCTGCCTGTGCCTTATGCCGCTTTCTACTAGTTGGGGGTGAGCTGGGATATGGGAACTGATCATGCCTAACTGGCCACGATAGAGGTGGAGGGGGACTGCAAAGGTCTTTGTCGGAGGAGTTGGAGTAGTAAATGATCTTCATCCTCTCTCTGTCACTTGTCTGTGGTCTGGCCCCAAGCTTGGAGTGGGGGTTGGGGTGGAAGAGCGGGAGGGAGGGCCTGGTGGACTTAGAGCTAGGGGGGCAGGAGGGGCAGGGGCGGCACAGCACCCTTGCTGGGAAGGGAGCTAGGGAACTGTGGGAGTTACTTCTGAGGTTTAGGTAACTGACCCCAATTTCTGTATTTTTCCAAAATCCAGTTGAGAGGCCAGAATTTGGGATAGCAGTGACCACAGCTTTCTGAATCTCCATGTGTGTGTTTGCCTGTACACACAGAAGCGCATATGTGCTTATACATGTCTGCGCACACACACATGCTTGATGCCTGCGGAGGTCAGACCGCGGTGTCAGAGTCTCTAGAGCTGGAGTTACAGGGGTTGTGAGCCGCCATGTGGGTGCTGGGAATGAACCCAGGTCCTCGAAAGAACAAGTGAGCCAGCTCCCCAGTTTCTCTGGGCATTTTAAACTCGTGAACCCCTCAGGAATACAAATTACAACCAGAAACAAGCCTGGTGGTGGCGCTTGGGAGGCTAAGTCAGGGGCGCTGAGTGTGAGGGCAGCCGGGGTCACACAGCGTTCTTTTCCTGAGAGTGTCTCCAGACAAACAGCCACAGCACAGAGCTACGGATAAACAGGTTAGGGCTCATGCTGTTTATTTGCTGGAGAAAACCCCCTGGCTTTTAAAATCAGACTCTCATCTGGCTCCCTGCCTTACTCCCACTCCCAAGAAACAAACTTGCCCACTACTGGGCACGTAGGGTAAGGTGGGGAGGCAGATAAGGACTCTTGGGGTCAGAAGGAGCCTTCAGGGACAGGGTGGTCCCCCAGGAAGAGGAGCGCTGGCGTTCAGCATCCCGAAAGGGGAAGCAGCTCTCCTATTGGCAGCATGTGCTTGCTTGGGTGGGCCAGGCAACCGCTTAGAGTTTGGAGGTAGTGGGGGGGGCCTGAGGTGAGGGCTGGAGTTGGGGCGGGGGTCCTTGGTCCTGGCTGCTCACAGGCCCCACTGGGGGTTACATGTGTGTCTCCCTCAGGTTGCCCATGGACCCCGGGGGCTAAAGGGAGAGAAGGGAGAGCCTGCGGTGCTGGAGCCTGTAAGTCCCCGCTGGTCACAGGGCTGAGGGAGGCAGACGGGAGGAGGGAGTAACGGGTGGATGGTGGCTAACTTTGGACGTCTGACCCCACAGGGCATGTTCGTAGAGGGACCACCGGGCCCAGAAGGCCCTGCGGTGAGTGCATTATGCTGTCGTCAGCAGTCGTTCTTGTTAGGGCGTTTCCTGCAGCTGCTTTTGTGGCTGGCCTGGGTATGTCCAGGTCCACGCTGCAGGCCTTCCCACGCTTCCGCTGTACAGACCACTCCTCAGCCACGGGGCCCCTTCTCTCCGTCCGTCCGATGGCCACATCTTACTTTCCTTCTTTTGTCCCTCAGGGGTTAATTGGACCCCCTGGCGTCCAGGGGAACCCAGGCCCAGTTGGAGACCCTGGTGAGAGGGTAAGTGAATGTTCTGGGGGGAGGGCTAACTGCGGAGATGCCCGGTGGGTGCTGTGCTCAGTAATGCCTCATCAGCTGGCTAACGGAGAGTGCTCCCCATAGCCTAGAGAGCAGGCGCACCCTCCGGTTGGTGGGGACGGTGACCTGCTAGCTCCCTACGCTGTTCTTCACGGGGTAGAGCGGCCACGACACATCTAGAGATAGTCTATATGGTCATACAAGGAAGGAGTTCAAAACGATGTCACATCCCTAACACGCTCCTGCCTCCCCTTTTTCTTCTTTCCTGCTCAGGGCCCCCCTGGCCGGGCAGGGCTCCCCGGATCAGATGGACCGCCTGGTCCTCCTGGCACTTCTCTGATGCTCCCCGTGAGTTCTCTTCTGGGCTTTGAAACAGGTGGGGGTGGGGGTGGTATCCCCAAGAGCTAAACCAAGAGGCTGTGCAGGAGAAGCATGGTGGCACATGCCCGAAATCTCAGCACGCAGACCGTGGAGGCGCCAGGACCCGGAACTCACAGCACTAGCTAAAGCGACTGATGTTTTGGGGGTGGGAAGAGTGCATCCCATTCAGACCTGGAGCCGCACCCAGGCCTTCTCCAGCCAAACTCGGATCATCTAAGCCGGGCAGAAAGACCCCCTGCTAGAAGCAGGGGAGAGGCTTGAGTGGCTGCAGTGTGAAGGAGGGTGGGAGGAAGCGACGTTCTGGAAACCTCCGAGGGCCTACCCAGAGCCAGGGGCGCAGCTCGGACATTGGGGGGCACCCCAGGCTTGGCGGGCACTTGGACTTCCTGCGGAGGGGAACTTGTGTCTCCTCTTGCCCCTCAGTTCCGGTTTGGCAGTAGTGGGGGTGACAAGGGCCCCGTGGTGGCAGCCCAGGAGGCCCAGGCCCAGGCGATTCTGCAGCAGGCACGGGTGAGCAGGGCCGGGGGAGGGGGGCTGGTGCTGGTAGAGGGAGGTGGGTAGTGGGAAGGGAGGAAGATTGGTGTGAAAGGAGGGCTTGAAAGGGTTTGCTTAGGCTGAGGGAGATGGAGGAGGGTAGAGCTCACTGATAGAGGAAGGGCAAGTCTGGGGTGTGCTGTGTTCTCCAATAGCCTTCCTCTCTTCTGTCCCTCTTGCTCCTCTAGCTGGCCCTCCGTGGGCCCCCTGGCCCCATGGGATACACGGGCCGCCCTGGGCCCTTGGTGAGTGAGAAAGTACATGGCAAAGTAGCGTTTCTTTATTTGTGTGTGCAGCTGCAGATGGTTTTGTGACAGAACCAGATTGAAAGTTGTTTTGCTTCTTTGGTGGGGGGAATGCGGCTGGTGGGGGGGTGGTGCGGGGGGGCTTTGAGATCACTGTTGGTTGTGTTCTTCCATGTGGCCATCTCCTCTCTCACAGGGGCAGCCTGGGAGCCCTGGCTTGAAGGGAGAATCTGGAGACCTGGGCCCACAGGTGACAACCCCCTCATCTGGTTTGTAGCCTAGTGTCCCTCCTCTCTGCCCATTAACCAGCCTGTCTCTCCCTTACTAGGGCCCCAGGGGACCTCAGGGCCTCACAGGCCCTCCTGGCAAGGCTGGTCGAAGGGTGAGTCCTCTAGGGATGGGAATGGAGCTTGGCGGATAGGGAACCGAACCCCTACTGGTCCTCACACGTGCTTTGTGCCCCCAGGGCCGAGCAGGTGCCGATGGAGCCCGTGGGATGCCTGGAGAACCTGGCGTGAAGGTGAAGCATTTCCTCTCCTCTCACAGCTGTGGCTGCCCTGCCTGCTCCACCAGGCCTCACCGGTTTCTCATGGGCTGTGGTCCCTCCTCACTCAGGACAGAGTAGGAAGGGGTGGGTCGGGAGGGGGCTGGACCTCATTTTGGTTTTCCCCCTTCCTCCTAGGGAGACAGAGGTTTTGATGGACTTCCGGGGCTACCTGGCGAGAAGGGACAGAGGGTGAGTATGATGGGGGCTGGATGCAGGGATGGGGTTGGATCTCTGGGGGGAAGTGGGGACCTCAGAGTGAGGCCAGGAGGCTGGCAGCTCAGCAGCTTAGCGAAGGGACCAGTGTCTGCCTGTATGAGGAGACCTGAGGCTCCTCCTCACTGTCCCCTCCTTTTCCAGGGTGATACAGGTGCTCAGGGCCTTCCCGGGCCTCCTGGCGAGGATGGAGAGCGGGTAAGTGACGTGGTTGGGGCAGGGGCTGGACTCTGGAAGGTTCACCCATTCATACGCCTCCCTTCTCCAGGGCGATGATGGAGAGATTGGACCCCGGGGGCTGCCTGGAGAGTCGGTGAGTGTGGGGTGCTCTGGGGGAAGCCATAGGGAGCAACGGGCACAAATAGTGACTCTCCATCAACTCTGAATGCAGGGACCCCGAGGACTTCTTGGCCCCAAAGGTCCACCTGGTATTCCTGGTCCCCCAGTAAGTGACACCTTGACTTCTAGCCCAACCTTGCCCCTGACCTCTCCAATTCCTCACCCTTTCTAACTGCTTTCTTTCTTGCCCCCTGTCCATGGGCTTTTCACTCCTAGACCCCACTTATTCCTGCTCTAGCTTCCCCCAAGAAACATTTGATGGGCCATGTGGTGTAGGGCACCAGGGCTCTGGCTGGAGCCAAAACCAACAAGAATCCTCAAGAGAAACAAAACAGCAGCCCTCAAACCCACAGACCCACACCCTGCAGATCTGGACTGGCCGAGCCAGCCTGGGGCTGCGATGAAACGTGTGTGATCAGGTGTCTGCTGTCCACCCTCTGGCATGGCCAGCCTTCCCAGAAACCACAGTGCCCCTGGCCTGGCCCCAGCTTCCAGCCTGCTTACCCCGTCTTGTGTTTCAGGGAGTCCGAGGCATGGATGGTCCCCATGGCCCCAAAGGGAGCTTGGTGAGTGATTGGCACAGAGACCCTGCCCCTTACCCCTGCAAGTCCCCCATCCAGCCCTGCTGGCTGGCTGCCAGTTTGAACCCTTTCCTGTTTCCTGCCCCTGTCATCTTGGCTGTCCTCAGACCTTTTGTCCTGTCTGTTCTGTCACCATTTTCCGACCCCTGTCTGGCCTCAGCCTGACCCCTGCTGGGGCCTGGCCTGGCCCTCTCTGGTTGCTTGTTTCTAGGGACCCCAAGGAGAGCCAGGGCCTCCTGGACAACAGGGCACTCCAGGGACCCAAGTGAGTGGCCTTGCCTACCACTCTTCGCACGCAGCCTTAGTGTTGGACACCTAGGCCTCACCGGGTCCCATCTGAGTGGGGACAGGACAGTGGTCCTTCTTGCTGGCCCTTAATGGCTCCTACGTCTTCTCTTTCCCCATGTGCAGGGCCTCCCCGGACCTCAGGGTGCCGTCGGGCCTCATGGAGAGAAGGTGGGTGACTGAGTCCAGGGCATCAGGTTCTGGGGTGGGTGGGGAGCGCCCCCTCTCTCCTGAGTCTTTAGAGAACTAATTCCTCTGGTGGTGATCTTCCCGATCTGCCTGCAGGGTCCTCGAGGGAAACCAGGCCTCCCTGGCATGCCTGGATCAGATGGACTCCCGGTGAGCCCCTCCCCCCGCCCCTGCGTGCCACCTGGGGGCCCCTCCGTGGCGTGTGCACAGTGTGCACCTTCTGCTGGAAGGTTGCTGGTGGTAGCCGCCTGTGGGTCTGGCTGTTTGGCTCACAGGGCAGTTTGGGTCAGAAAAGGTGCAGGGCCTATTGGGACATTGACTAGGGCCAACGGAGACATTCCCTACCTCCTCCTTGCAGGGTCACCCAGGGAAGGAAGGTCCCCCCGGAACCAAAGGGAACCAGGTGAGACCCTCCGTTCTCCTTTCACCCTCTGACGGGGCTGGGGAAGGGCTGGGGTTTCCTGTCCCATCCTTCCCTCAGCTCTGGTACTGTTCCACGTCTCCCTCCCCCTGAGCCCTCACATGACATCCTCAGGCCCCTCCTAAGTCCCTCTCTTTCTTCTTCCAGGGTCCCTCTGGTCCACAGGGTCCTTTAGGATACCCAGGCCCTCGAGGTGTCAAGGTAACTGCCTGCCAGGGAACCAGAGGGGGAGCTGAGTAGCCTGGCTGATCACTCTATCTCTACCCTCCCTCTGATTCCAGGGTGTGGATGGAATTCGGGGCCTGAAGGGCCACAAGGGTGAAAAGGTAAAGCCTTGTGCACTTAGCTTCCACGTACCTGGACCCCTCCCCTGCCCTCCTCTCTCCCTCAGTGCTCCCCTGCCCTCCTCTCCCTCAGTGCTCCATCTGCCTTCATCTCTCCCTCAGTGCTCTATCAGCCTTCATCTTTCTCAGTGCTCCACCTGTCCTCCTCTCCCTCAGTGATCCCCTGCCTTCCTCTCTCTTCCCCAGTGATCCCTCTTCCCTCCTCTCTCTCCGTCAGTGCTCCCCCGCTCTTCTCACCCTCAGAGTGCTCCCCTGCCCTCCTCTCCCTCAGTGCTCCCCTGCCCTCCTATCAGCCCCACCTGCCCTCTCATTTCTGAAATCCACACCTTTGCCTGTGCTCTGTGATCCCCAATTCTGCCCTTTACCCTCTGTGGGGCCCTCTCACCTCTGTCTTTCTCAGGGCGAGGATGGCTTTCCTGGGTTCAAAGGTGACATAGGCGTGAAAGGAGACAGGGTGAGTAGAAGTTCCTCTCCACCCGATCCCCCAACTCCTTGTCCTACCGCTCTTCCATTCTGAGCTGCTCTGTGCTCCCTGGAAATGGAAGGTTTTTTTCTCTATTGTTTTGCCCCTGGTTAGAGATGGGGGCCAGTGACATGGCGGCCACGTAGTCGGTTGTGCTGGTCCCCCATTCACTGTCTGTCTGCATGGACACTGCTCTCCTGCCAATCCCACCTGGCCCTGCTGGCGCCTCTCCTCACTGGGGGCCTAGGCCCACCTCTGTCCCCACTCAGCTCCCCACTTTCCTCTCAGGGTGAGGTTGGAGTCCCTGGTTCCAGAGGAGAAGATGGCCCCGAGGGGCCGAAAGGACGTACTGGGCCCACTGGAGACCCCGGGCCCCCCGGGCTCACGGGCGAGAAGGTGACGGGGAGAGTGGCTTGCTCGCTGGGGCAGGTTGGGTGCCAAGTGGAAGTCAGTAACTCGATCAAAGACAGTGTGAATTCGTTATGCCTCTATGCATGGCGCATGCTGGGCACCCGTGGCTTGAGGGGGCGCTAAGAAGTCAAGGAGAAATCCTGGGAGGACGTGGGGGTGCGAGGTGGGGTGAGAGTGTGGCGAGGGGTGCCGAGGAGGAGGGGAGCGAGGTGGGGTGAGAATGTGGCGAGGGGTGCTGAGGAGGAGGGGGGTCTGTGGCCTTGTCCCCCAGGGCAGTCCTGCTTCATAGATGAAGCCTTCTGCATGTATAGGGGACATTAAGATGGTTACGGACCCCAATGGGGGGCAAAGCCCTTGTTTCCTAGACAGCTCTGCAGCCTCTTGGGCAAGATGGTGCCTGGGGAGGAGCTGGGCTGGTGCTCCCTCACGGAGGGGAGGGGGCCCGGCTGGTCCAGCAGTGCCTGCTGGGGGCGGGGTGGACCTGAAGATGGGGTGGCAGTGGCTGGACCACAGGCTGCAGCCCCACGGGGTCCTGCAGCTTTAAGCTTGGGGACAGAGGAGCTGAGATGCAGAGATGGGGTTGGGACCCTGCTCTTGGATGCTAAAGAAGCCGGGGCCCGGGGCGTCCGTCCATGGGGCTTCTGTGGGAGCGCCATGGCTCCTGTCATTCCTGACTGCATTCTGTCCTTCCACAGGGCAAGCTAGGTGTTCCTGGTCTGCCTGGCTACCCTGGACGCCAGGGTCCTAAGGTGCTGTGATGCCCCACTCTGCCCCTCTTTGTTGACCCACTCTTGACCTCTGACCCCTGGAAGCATAGACTGGCAGAGTGGGGGTTCCCTCGAGACATTTTTGGCTGACTGACTCCCGTTTTATAGATGAGAGACAGATATGTGTAGAGCAGCAGGCCTGTTTCTCCCTAGCATGGCCTAGCTAGCCCCATTGCTGCTCTGAGGCCTCTTCACCATCTTTGGCCTTTGCCAAGCCTCCTCCCCTCACCTCATTCTTTCTCTATCCTTTCAGGGGTCCCTAGGTTTTCCTGGTTTTCCTGGAGCCAGTGGAGAGAAGGGAGCTCGGGTAAGCTGGGGGATGGGAGCGTGCATGGGGGGGAGCTGGGGGTGCTTGGAGGGGCCACTGTGGGGTCTTGCCTTGGGTAATGTTGGCTTGACTTTATTTCCACCAGGGCCTGTCTGGGAAATCAGGACCTCGGGGAGAACGGGGCCCCACGGTGAGTGCTGTGTGGGGGGTGAGGAGGGGCTTGCAGGCACTGTTACCGTGTGGCTCAGAGGTGGGCCGTGCCCACCAACCCAACTGTGCTCGGTTGGCAAAGCACTGCTCAGTGGGCACAGCCCTGGGCTCCATCCCCAGCGCTGCATCAGCTGACTGTGGTAGAGGCAGGAGGATCAGGGGTTCAAGGTCATGCTCAGGAACGTGGTGAGCGCCTCAAGACTCAAGGATGTCCCTAACATTCCCCTTCTGTCTACCCAGGGTCCAAGGGGTCAGCGGGGACCCCGAGGTGCCACTGGGAAGTCCGGAGCCAAGGTGAGTGGGCTCTGCCAGGCTGTCTCCTGATGCTGGGCCGTAAGCCTCCTTGCTCCTCCCACCCTCCTCCTTGGGGGTGACTGACGAACACCCATCTCACTCCCTGACTTTGCTTCTCTCACAGGGAACATCAGGTGGTGATGGTCCCCACGGGCCACCCGGAGAGAGGGTGAGTGTCCACGTGTTCCCTTGGGGAAGAACCTTGGTCCTCCTTTGTCCAAAACCTTCTCATTCCATCTCTGCCTCTAGGGTCTTCCTGGACCTCAAGGCCCCAATGGATTTCCTGGTCCCAAAGGCCCTCCGGTAAGGTGACTGCTGACTTGTGACCCAGCTAACTTCCTTCCCCCCATCCCTCTTCCCCGTCAAGTTCACCTGACCCCAAACCCCTTCCAGGGCCCTGCAGGGAAGGATGGGCTGCCGGGACACCCAGGCCAGAGAGGAGAAGTGGTGAGTGATCCCAGGGGTGCGGGGTGAGGAGGTCCTTGCATCCCACTGACTGAGCTGCCCTGGTGCTGTCTTCCTCTGGAACCGGGACTTGGGGCCTGCCCCACTGTCACCCCGTCCTTGTCTGGTCCTGCTCTGACTTCGCTCTTTGGCTTTCCTCCCAGGGATTCCAAGGGAAGACCGGCCCCCCAGGACCCCCTGGAGTGGTGGGACCTCAGGTAGGGTTCCCCCAGGAAAGTATGCACCCCAGATCTGGAGTTAGGGCCTTCTCCCCCCCCACCGCCCTAACACAGCCCTAAGGACTGTTTGCCTGGGCAAGGGACCCCAGGCTGGGATCCTGAATTTCAGCTCCTTTTCTCCCTGAGAAGTTTCCGGGCTGTGACACAAGATGGCGAGGTCAATCCACACTGAGGATGGTCAGCCCCAGCACCAGCCAGGAGAGCGCCAGCCATTTCCCTGTGGCTTTGGGGGAGACTCAGGGGCTCTAGTTTGACACTTTGTGGGTCACAGAGTGGGGTCTCCGGGCTGGTGGAGCTGAGCTTAGACTGTGCCTTTCCCAGGGAGCAGCTGGGGAAAGCGGTCCCATGGGGGAGAGAGGTCACCCTGGCCCCCCAGGACCTCCTGGCGAGCAAGGACTGCCTGGAACAGCTGGAAAGGAAGGGACCAAGGTCAGTGAGGGGCCAGCAGAGAGGAGTTGGGGTGGGGTGGGAGGGTGCAAGAAATGGACCAGTGTGGATCTGAGGGTCCAGAGATCTCTGCTCAAATCCTTTCATTTCAGGGTGATCCTGGCCCCCCTGGTGCCCCGGGGAAGGATGGTCCTGCTGGTCTAAGAGGCTTCCCAGGAGAGAGAGGCCTCCCGGGCACTGCTGTGAGTGTGACCCCCAAAGCCAACAGCCAGTACGGTCACTCACCTCCTGGTCCCCTTGATAGTACTCTCTGCTGTCATCTCACGGAGCCCACATCTCCCCAAAGCCCGCCCTTCCCGGCGTGTCTTCTGGGATACCATGCCTGTGAAGCCTTACCTTCCCATCTCACCTGTGACCCTAAATCTGCTTCATAGGGTGGACCTGGCTTGAAGGGAAATGAAGGCCCAGCCGGCCCTCCTGGCCCTGCAGTGAGTCTGGGGCTCCCTGGAGGGAGTGGGCAGGAGCCAGGAAAGCGGGTGGGGGAGGAAGGATTCCAGGCAAGTTGTGGCGGGAGAAGTGGGCCTAGGCAGAGGGAATTTGGGGATAAGCCAGGATGCATCTGACTTTCTGTTGTCCTGAGTTCCATGGTCAGGGGTCCTGCGGGCCCCTTCCTAGAGGGTCTGACTCCATCTCTCTCTCAGGGCTCCCCTGGGGAACGAGGTGCAGCAGGATCAGGGGGCCCCATTGGTCCACCGGGGCGTCCAGGCCCACAAGGTCCCCCTGGAGCAGCAGGAGAGAAAGGCGTCCCGGTGAGCATGGGGGCAGGAGGCTGTGAACTGTGAGCTGAGGGGTGATGCTATCAAGGTGTTTGGGGGAGGTCCTTGGAGGCGAGGCTGCTTCCATGCCGTTACCTTTTCCCATGTTTTGTGCAGGGTGAGAAGGGCCCCATTGGTCCTACTGGCCGAGATGGGGTGCAGGGCCCTGTGGGGCTTCCTGGTCCTGCGGGCCCGCCAGGTGTGGCTGGAGAGGATGGAGACAAGGTGAGGAACCTGAGCCTTCTATGTGTCCAGTCTTCTCTCCGTGACACCGCTGGCCTCTGTCTAATTTGCATATCTCCTTCCCCTTGTATGTCTTTGCCTTCTCCTTCAGGGTGAGGTGGGAGACCCAGGACAGAAGGGCACCAAGGGGAACAAGGGAGAACATGTAAGTATCTGTGACCTTTGGCTTCTGACCTCTTGGCTTTTAACCTCATCCCACCCTTCCCCCAACCTGTCCGGACATCTCTGACTCTCCTTTCTTCTCTAGGGCCCTCCTGGACCTCCTGGTCCCATCGGTCCTGTGGGGCAGCCCGGAGCAGCGGTAAGTGCCCCTGGGTCTCCGCTGAGGCCCCCACAGAATCTAGCCTGCCTCAGTTCCCCTTAGTCCTGGTGCTCAAGTCTGCATTTATAGATGGAGGACACCTGACCTCTGACCTATCATTGTGTCCTTGCCCCTGCTCCAGGGAGCTGATGGGGAGCCTGGAGCTCGGGGGCCCCAGGGGCACTTTGGAGCCAAAGGTGACGAAGGAACAAGAGGATTCAATGGGCCCCCAGGACCCATTGGCCTACAGGTGAGCTGGGCTGGGGGGCAGGGCCTGGGAGTAGGCTCAGGGTGCTGCTGATGACTGGGGAGGTGGGAGCAGACGGGGGGAGGGGGCTGTGGGGCTGGGTGACAAGGGCTGGTTCTGATGAGCTGACCACCTGAGCCTGTGCTCCGTGTACCTGCACAGGGCCTGCCAGGATCTCCCGGGGAGAAGGGAGAAACAGGAGACGTGGGGCCTATGGTGAGTGCGACCCTCACTGGTCCAAGCCCACCTGCCACCCAGCCGGTCGGTCCCAGCCTGATGTACCACTGCAGACCCTGCAGCTCTGCCTCTGCCTCTGCCTCTGCCTGGGTCTCTGCTCACCCAGGCCTTCCCATCCTGCTCATCCCTCCTCATGTCCCTCCCTTCCCCATCCTGATGCATTCATACCCCGCCCACCCAGGGACCGCCTGGCCCTCCAGGACCCCGAGGCCCCGCTGGACCCAATGGTGCTGACGTAAGTCGCCCTCCGCCTCCTTTCCCTAGACCATAAGCCGAAGTCCCATCTCAGGTGTCAAGAGAAGCCCGAGACCCTGGGAACGCTGCTGCCACAGCCGCCACCTCCCTGCTGGGCTCTCAGCCAGGCCATCTCCCCTAATGACCTTTCTTTCTCTTCCTCTAACAGGGCCCACAAGGACCCCCTGGAGGTGTTGGGAACTTGGGTCCCCCTGGAGAGAAGGTAAGTGGGGAAGGGTGAATGACCCAGTCTTGGCGGGGGGTGAGGGTTAGATTTCCGCTTATTTTTGATGTGGGCTTGTCAGGATTTGTGGGGGAAACTTTGATGGTCATCTCTTTTAGGGTGAACCTGGGGAGTCAGGCTCTCCAGGACTCCAGGGTGAGCCGGGCATCAAGGTGAGTGACAGTTCCGAGGCCCTGCTCTCTGATCCCCTTTCCCCTTTTCTGTCTCTTGTCCCAGGATGGCCACGGCCCTGGAGTCTGCTCCTGGCTTGATCTCTGGCCTGAAGGAGCCCAGCCACCATTTCCTGGAAAGGGAGGAGGGGCCGGGACAGTCCCATAGGCCTGACTCTGGCTGTCCCATTGTCATGAGTGACTGAGGGGAGGCCGAGGCTGTCTTGGGAGTAGGGACCGTCTCCCCAACCTTCAAGACCCCTTGAGACCATCTGTTTCCTCCCCTTGCTGTGCAGGGTCCGCGTGGAGAGCGTGGCGAGAAAGGGGAGACGGGGCAGGCGGGAGAGGCTGGACCACCAGGGCCCAAAGGCCCCACAGGCGATGACGGCCCCAAGGGGAACCCTGTGAGTTTGGGGAGGGGTGAAAGAAGGGCCTCTGAGAATGGGGGACCCTGGAATACTCATGTGTGGGGAGACCAAGGCTGGGGGTGATGCCTAGGAGGAGGTTGTGGGAAGGTGGTCTCGAGGAGGCTGAAAGGATGAGGCTGGGAAAAGGGGTGCAGGGGAGCTTCTTCCAAGGGTGAGGAGGAGAGTGTGGTGTGTCCATGGGACCTCAGCTGCCCTTGGGAGCTGGGGCGTTAACCTTCTTCTTCCTCTGGACTAGGGTCCTGTTGGCTTTCCTGGGGACCCTGGCCCCCCTGGAGAAGCTGGCCCACGGGTAAGTCTTACCCAGGGGGGGCTAGAGGCCAAGATGGTGGTGCTTTGTTGGTTGGCCCCTGTGGAGTAGGTGGGCCTGGGTCTCAGGAGCAGGGGTTGGCAGGGTGAGTAGGCAGATGGTGAGCTGCCAGCCCCGTTGGGGGCCTTCTCTGACTTTGTTTCTCACTTCAGGGCCAGGATGGGGCTAAGGGAGACCAAGGAGAGGACGGCGAGCCAGGACAGCCTGTGAGTGACCGGTGACCCCTCTCTTCCTTTGGGCCGTACCTGTCCCCAGTGGTCTCTTGGCTGGAGTCCACTTATCCTCTTCCTGTCCTCCCTCCTTAGGGATCCCCTGGTCCCACTGGGGAGAATGGACCCCCTGGGCCCCTTGGAAAGCGGGTAAGTGATGCTTATTGAGCTGCCTGGCCTCGGGTAGGGTGGATGGAGGCGAGGCCATGGCAGGCGATGGGCCGGGAGACACAGTCATCTGGTGGCCTTTGGCTGGGGTGCGGTACGCGCAGCTGGCCATCTTTGGCTGGTTGGCACCTTGGGTGCTTTTGTCCCTGGGTTTTGGTCTGACTTACTGACCTATCAAAATGGACACGGGAAAAAGGGCTTCTCCGAAGACCCACTTGGGCTTAACCTCTGTTTGCTGGAGCGGGCAACGGGAAGTGGGAAAGTGGCCCAGTCACCGCGTACACAGAGGTTCTGTTCTAACAGGGTGTGGTTGCCCCTGTCTTCACTATCTGTGACTGGTCCCCTGTGTGTGTGCGCACGTATGCATGTTTGTGTGCGTGCATAAGTGTGTGTGTGCAGGAGGACAGGATGGGGGCTGAGGTGATGAGCTGCCTCCCACCTTATTTCCTTCTTTCTCCTCTTCAGGGACCTGCTGGCACTCCTGGTCCAGAGGGACGACAAGGAGAGAAGGGAGCGAAGGTGACAGAGGCTACCAGGGTGCTGGGGCTAACCCTGCGTCCTCCTTCCTCAGGCCTCCAACTCCACACGCATTCCCTCTGTCCACCTCTTCCATGCTGGGCCCCCCCCTGCACGTGCCGCTGTGCCCCACCCTTCCTACCTCAGCCTCCTTTGTCTCCTCCTCTGCCTTTGGGGACAAGCTCTTTCTGTGTGTTTCAGGGGGACCCTGGTGCTGTGGGGGCCCCAGGAAAGACAGGTCCTGTGGGTCCTGCAGGCCCAGCGGGAAAGCCTGGCCCTGATGGTCTTCGGGGGCTCCCGGGCTCAGTGGTGAGTTGCAGTGTGAAGGATCCGGGGGGAGGATGAAGGCCATGAGTGTGTGATGGAGGGATAATCCTCCTGACCCTGGATGTGCTTTCTGATCTACAGGGTCAGCAAGGCCGTCCAGGAGCCACAGGCCAGGCTGGGCCCCCAGGTCCTGTGGTAAGTGACTGGGCTGTGTGGGTGGCTGGGCACCCTGGAGCAGCCAGAGCCAGGGAGGAAGTAGAAGGTGAACTTGAACCCACCTCTGGGGAGAGTGACTTCCTGTCTCCCCACAGGGACCCCCAGGGCTTCCTGGCCTCCGGGGTGATGCTGGAGCCAAGGGAGAGAAGGTGAGTGACAGATCTGGGATCATGCTCCTCAGCCCCAGATCCTGCGGGGGTGGCCAGCGCCCGCTGCTCTGCCTCAGGCCCCCAACACCCAGTCCTCGGGGTCCTTACTCGTGGGATCATTCCCAACTGAGGCGTTCCCCAGACCCTGTGTCTGCCTCCCTGTCCCTTGCCCGTGTTCAGCTGTGTCAGTTCTTTTAGCATCCATGACCACCTTTGCCCTTATCCAGGGTCACCCAGGTCTCATTGGGCTGATTGGGCCGACTGGAGAGCAAGGAGAGAAGGGTGACCGGGGCCTTCCTGGCCCTCAGGGTGCCCCCGGACAGAAGGGAGAGACGGTGGGTACAGGACACGGCTCAGAGGGGTCGGGGGTTGGGTGGGTCCATGCTGAGGCGGGGGATGGGAACTGGCCTGTGGGGTGGAGGGACTGAGGGACTGAGGGACCAGCCTCTCCCCATCCTGTTCTAGGGTATCCCAGGAGCATCTGGGCCCATCGGTCCTGGAGGGCCTCCTGGCCTGCCTGTAAGTACCATTTCTTTCTCCTAGTCCCTCAACACCCCCCCTCCACTCTCCCTCTGGTGACTTGATTTCTCCATTTCTGTGCCCTTTCCTGTGCTGACCCCTTCTGCTCATTTACAGGGACCCGCTGGCCCCAAAGGAGCCAAAGGAGCCACAGTGAGTGGTCATATCAGCCTTGACCTTTGCCCTCCCTGAGCTGGCCTGTTAACCCTGACATTCCCCCTTCTCACCGGGGAACCCTCATTTCTGCCAAAGACCAATTTGACCCTTTCGTGACCTTGATCCTATGCTTGACCTCTTGACCCCTCCGTGACACTATTAATTCCTTTGTTAGGGCCCAGCTGGACCCAAGGGAGAGAAGGGCGTCCAGGGCCCTCCCGGCCACCCGGTGAGTGAGGAGAGAGGAGGCAACGCCTGTTGCTCCCCCCAAGCCTTGCCACACCCTGCTGTACCTACCCGGCCTCACTCTCACCGTGACCTCACTGCACCCTCCCCCTCTCCACCTAGGGCCCCCCGGGTGAGGTGATCCAGCCCCTGCCCATCCAGATGCCCAAGAAGACCCGCCGCTCCGTGGATGGAAGCCAATTGATGCAGGACAACGAGGCGCTGCCCACGGGTGGTGCCCCGGGCAGCCCTGCGGGGCTGGAGGAGATCTTCGGCTCACTGGACTCTCTGCGGGAGGAGATCGAGCAGATGAGGCGGCCCACGGGGACCCAGGACAGCCCTGCGCGCACCTGCCAGGACCTGAAGCTCTGCCACCCCGAGCTTCCCGATGGTCAGCACCCTGGTCCAGGGCGCCGAACCGTGCCCGCTGGGGGTGGGGGTCTCAGGGAAGGTGCCGGAGGCGGGGACTGTGGAGAGTGAGAAGGGTCGCAGCAGCTGTTAGCAGCGGTGTCCCAGGGGGCCCACACACGTGTGCACATGCACCTGACTTCACACAGCTGGCTGCACTCCTTCCGCTGGGCAGCCCAGAGTCGATACTGGGGATGCAGGCACCAGCCGGAGATTGGGGTGGGCTGCGAGGTGATAAAGGAAACTGAGGCAGGAGAGGTGCAGGGCTGCGAGCGGGGAAAACCCTGGGACACTGGGCTGCAGGTAGAGGGAGGGAAGGAGGCACGTGGATCAAGGAGTATCTTGTGCACGGACCTCCGTGACCCCGACCTTCCTGTTGCTCACCGACAGGAGAATACTGGGTGGACCCCAACCAGGGCTGTGCTCGAGATGCCTTCAGGGTGTTCTGCAACTTTACAGCAGGAGGGGAGACTTGTGTTACGCCCAGGGATGACGTCACACAGGTGCGAACTGTTTGGCCCTCAGTCTGCCCTCCTTGTCTGCCTGACCCTCCCTTCCCCTGTGTGTGGCCTTTGACACTTTCTCTGTCGCCTTTCCTCGGGTCCCAGGACTGACACCTGCTGGTCCTTACCCGGTCTCTGGCCGCTCCCTGACTCTTTTCTCTCCAGTTCTCCTATGTGGACTCCGAGGGCTCTCCAGTGGGTGTGGTCCAGCTCACCTTCCTGCGGCTGCTCAGCGTCTCCGCCCACCAGGATGTCTCCTACCCATGCTCCGTAGTATCCCATGACGGTCCGCTGAAACTCCGGGGGGCCAATGAGGATGAATTGAGCCCCGAGACCAGCCCTTACGTCAAGGAGTTCAGAGATGGCTGTCAGGTGGGTGGCAGGTTCCAGATGTGGGCTACGGGCAGGAGATGGGGTGCCAGGGCCAGCAGGGAGGAGCCCAGCTTCCCCTGTCAGACGTACCTGAGGGGAGGGCGCTTAACGGGCTATTGAGGAGGGAGGGAAGGTGGGGAAGCCACTTGTGTGGGCTTGTGTACATACACCTGCGTTACATGGAGTTACACAAGCTTGTGCAACTGTGGATCACAAAGATGGCCCTGAGAGTGGCTACACTGCCAGTCCTAACCCGTACGTCCAGCATCATCTGGATATGGCCAAGATTCTCAGAGGAGAGGCGAGCTGGGGCTGAGGTTAGGGGAGCGTGTCACTGTGCTCACAGCCCCTCCTTCCTGTCCCCGTCAAGACCCAGCAAGGCCGGACGGTGCTGGAGGTGCGCACGCCTGTGCTGGAGCAGCTGCCCGTCCTGGACGCTTCCTTCTCAGACCTGGGGACCCCCACGAGGCGCGGAGGCGTGCTGCTGGGGCCTGTCTGCTTCATGGGCTAGGCCCTCTGACCCTGTCAACCGAAAACCAGGTCCACCTGGGGTCACGCAGCATGGACTCTGTGCCACCTCCCATGAGGATCCCTCATCACCTAGGGGGCCTTGGGCCAGGGCACCTCAAGCCTCAAGTTGGGGGCAGCAGCCAGGGGTGGGGTGAACCAGGGGGTGCCGGGACAGTCCAGGGGAAGGGTGTTATCTGGGCCTCAGCTCTCCCTCTGGTGACCCGTTAGAGAGCTGAGACCTTTATTTAAAACACTCTCCTGTCACCCCAAATAAGTGGAAGAGAAAGGACACTGTGTATTTTGTATTTAAAAAAAATAATTATATTAATTATTTAAAGAGTGAAAAAAACAAAGTAACAGAGGATAAAGAGAGAAATGCCAAAAACCCCAGCCGATATTGGGAACAGGTGCTGCAAGGGTGGGCCCGAGCCCCACCCTCCCTCAGGGTTTTCCTTAGTGCCTGTGGGTGTGGCTTTCTGGGCTGAATCTCCCCTCCTCGCCTTCCCCCTGGGGCACCGCCAATGCTGGATTGCATGGCTTCCCCTGCCTCAGGACTCCAGCTCTCTCTCCCAGGGTGGGAGCTCCGAGACCACCTGTCCCTGGCAGGAGGGGCCACTCAAGGCCAGGCCACTCCTCCGGGGGAGACCAGACTAGAGGGCTGTGCAGGGCCTGCCTCTGGTTCCTCAGTGTGTGGAAGTCGTCATGGCTCTCAGCACTGTCCTGGCTACATAGTTCCTCCCCTGGACACCTCCTCAGCGTCTCCGACCCTGGAAAGAAAGCTAATGTCTAGCCTATGGCTGGAAGGGACCCCCAGGACCCCTCTGGCCCTGTGCCCAAGTCCTTCCTGACTGACGGTTAAATAATGTGATTGTCTCCTCGTGGGTGTGTGTTGGCGTGTGTTGTTATTTCAGTCTCCTCCAAGCTCCGCACGGTGCTCCATACGGTGCTCCCGCACCTCCAAAGGCTTGGCTTCGTCCCTACACACAGTTCTGCAGCGGCTCCCAGGGTTTACACAGCCAGGGTGGCAAGAACAGACTCCCAAATGGATGCCCCAGTGACATCATGCCAGGGCTCTGACCCAGGGCAGGGCAGTCGCATGGGCTTTGCCTGCTCCGTCTCCCCGAAAATACACCCCCCCCATCTTCAAGGTTAGAAGGAACCGTGAGTGGCTCAGTCTAACCTCTGTGCAAGTTGGTAAATGAGCCCGCGTCCGAGACACTGATTTCTGCACCTTCTTTTCCAAGCCACACTGTATCCCCAGGATTGTTGTGTTGTCCAAAGCCAGAACGGAAGTCAGGCCTCGAACGCGTGCACGTCTTTCCATACACGCCTGCATTTAAACAGCTTTCTTCTGCCGGCTTTTGTGTGTTCTCTGCCTAGTGACTGCTGACCCCCTTTGTCCCAAGGTGCTCCTCTCTGGGCCTGCTCAGTAGTTCAGGCCTGCTCTGGTCAGGAGTTCCTTGGGTTCCTGGGGAGATAGCTGGCTGAGTTTCCTAGGCACCCAGCACTCACCGCATCCCAACACTTCCTTGAGGTGAGACCCGGGCTGCATCCCGTAGACAGTTCCTGCTGAGGGACAAAACAAGGGGATGTTGGACCACACTTGTTTTTGGGACCAGAAGTCTCCAGCCCCTGTGCAGCAGCAGGTTCCGTGGAAGTAAAGAGCTCACTGCAGGTGCGTACTCTGCGGGCTGAGAACTGGCGCAGGCAGACGCCCCGTGCAGGTGGAGGCTCGGGACAGGTGTGGAGCGCACTGCAAGTGTAGATCAGTGCAGGTGGAGAATTTAGTGCAGGGAGGCACCCCAGTCCAGATGGAGACCCAGCGCAGGTGGAGACCCAGGGCAGGTGGAGACCCCAGGGCAGGTGGAAACCCAGGGCAGGTGGAGACCCCAGTGCAGGTGGAGACCCAGGGCAGGTGGAGACCCAGTCCAGATGGAGACCACTGTGCAGGTGGAGACCCAGTCCAGATGGAGACCCAGTCCAGGTGGAGACCCAGGGCAGGTGGAGACCACTGTGCAGGTGGAGTCTCTGCAGGTGCAGACCCAGGGCAGGTGGAGACCCAGGGCAGGTGGAGACAGAGGAGGGTGGAGCCTCCTGTGTCCACATGTCCAGGTCTGCCTTTCTCTCTGTCTCTGCTGTCTCTGCTGAATTCATCTTCACATTGCAAAGTCATCAGAATAATTCAGTCCCTGGCCGGGGACATGGTGGCAGGTCGTTAAAAGCAGACCCTGGTGGGCAGAGACAGGCTGATGTCTGACCTGAAGGCCAGCTTGGTGTGCACAGGTCCACGACACCTGGAGCTTCATAGAGGCACCTGTCTCACACACAACCTGGAGCAATGCAGGCCCTACAAGGTCACTAAATCTTCCTCCTTCGCTCGCTGATTTCTTATTCCCTGTTCCTCAAACCTTAAGGGTGACGAAGTATATTGGTGAGTGCATGTGTGTGTGTGTATGTGTGTGTGTGTGCACGTGTGTGTGTGTGTGTGTGTGTGTGTGTGTGTATTGGCGTCATCTCATCTATCTACCGTCACAGTGGATGTGCTTTTGTACATCCTTGTGCCTTTCTATGTCTAGTCAAGTCCTAAGAGACAGCTTTTCCTCTCCCTTCTCTCCTCCTCCCCTCCTCTCCCTCTCACTCTCTCCTCCTTCTCCCTCTCCCCTTCCTTCCCCTTTTCTCTCCCTTTCCCCCTTATACCCTCTTCCTCTCCCTCTATTTTCCACTTCCCTCTTCTCCCCTCTCCCCTTCCTCTCCCATTCTCTCTCCTCTCTCCTCCTCCACCTCCCATCCCCTTCCTCTCTCCTTCCCCCTCCTCTCCCCTCCTCTCCCACCTCTCCCCTCTCTTCTTCCTTCCCTTCCTTCCCCTCTCCTCTCCCTTTGCACCCCTCCCTTCTTTCTCCTTTCCTCTCCTCTTCTGTCCCTCCCCTTCTCCTCCTCTCTCCTCTCCCTCCTTTTCCCTTTCCCTCCCTTCCTTTCTTCCTCCCTTTCCCCTCCCTCCTATATCTCTCCCCCTCTCCTCCTTTTCCTCCTCACCCTGACTCATTCCCAGCAGGGCTGGGCCAGGGCTGAGGTTTGGCCAGGGATCTCTAGGCAGCTGACTCTCAACCACAGAGAGGTCACCCCTAGAGCACAAAGGGGAGTGTCCCGAAAGGTCACTTTTGCTTTGAGCTCAGACAGCTTTTCTCCATGGAAACAACAGCACACAGTTACCTTTGGTGCTGAGGCCCCCAGGCCACACCACAACAGCCTATTAAATTCCTGTGCCAACCAACCCATCCAAGAGTTCGTGAGCAGCTCTGCCAACTGGCAGCTGAATGCCAGGCTCACAGCCTCTCCCTGGGAGGCTTCTCCTTCCTCTCCAGGAACCTGGGACCTGCCTCTCAGGCGGGGTGGGAGGAGCTGAAGGGCAGAGGCTCTGAGGTGGACATTTTGGGGTGGGGCTGGGGAGTGCGGGTGCCTGGGCATGTAAGCATGTGGATGCTGGCAGTAGCTCTGATGCTTAGGCAGAAGAGGTTTCTGTGTGCGCGCGCGCATGTTTTGAGGGGGGTGGATGAGGGAGAACCAGGAAAAGAAGGGATGAGTGATCAAAGGCTTCGAGGTCCCACCGTGGGTCTGACTGGGACAGAACATCCCAGCTGCTGGAGGAGGTGACGGTTCTCCAAAGGTTTCAGTCTCCGGGTTTAGCTGAAACCTCAAATTAGAGGGACACATCCATGTTGCCAGAACAGGCAAGAATAGGACAGATTGGTGGAGAAGATGTCGACACAGCCCACCATCCTGCAGGCTTGGAGGAGGAGGAGCCAGGAGGGAAGTTCCCCTGCCTGCCACCCTGGCAACTGCTCCTTGGCTGTGGGTTTCCCTGTGGGCATTCCTGATTTGTGGGTGAAAAATTAATCTTACAAGCCAAGAGTGGTAGTATATGCCTGCAAATTCAGAACCTAGGGAGGCTGGGGCAGGAGGATTGCTTAGTTTGGGGTTAGCCTGAGCTACATAGTGAGTTAGAGACTACTCTGGCTATAGTGAGGGCTCCTCTCACAAACCGACAACAGGAGACATAAGAGAACAAAGACTATGAAGAACACACTCGGGCCACTGTCCCGGGGCCACTCTGTAGCCTAGAAGGCTGTGGCCCTCTCTGCTCTCTACCTTGGCTTTGGCTGGGTACATACCCAGTCCCAGGCTAGGTGTGAATGGAGGGGAGAGGGAAGGGGGGAGGAACAAGGCTTTGGCTGCCTCCCGAGAAAGTTTATGTGGTGGGGTGGAGACCCAGGCGTGAAGGGTGTGGCCCCTGTTCCTGTGAGCCCAACGGAGCACGAGCACGATGGCCACGCCGCCTTCTGAGAGCCACGAGTCTGCCGAGGGGCGGTGGCACCAGCCTTGGATGCTCCTGACTGTCCTGTTAGTGTCAGCTTTCTCATCTTCACAGCAGTGGGAGGTGGACTGTGGGCTGACTGTGGTCTCCCTGGACCTTGGCTGTAGAGCATTCCACCTCGTAAGGAAGCTGTTAAGACTCAGGCTGGTCTAAAGGGAACCAAACATTCTATCTTGCGGGGAGACCCCGTAAAATTCAGGAAGGGGACAACTCAAAAGCTCCAGGAAGTCCCTGAAACTGACCAGATTCACTAGGTCCTTCTCCCCCAAGTGTATATGAGCAGAAAGAACTGCTGAGGGACACTCAGACCTGCTGAGTTTCTGGAAGGGACAATCGCCAACCTACCAGGCTGCTTGCAGTTGAGCTGTGCCCTCCAGGTTCCCAGTCTCACGAGCCAACGCCCATGCTGGGCCGGGTTCTTGACAGCTGCCAGTGGCTGTCACTGACTCCTGTGAGCAATCCGTCACCCACACGCCACAGTAACCTCAATACGCTTAACTCACACGTGTCCTGACTGGGCTTCCGTGGCGGGCTTCGCTTGTTCTGTACCACATGTTCCCGAGCTGTCTGTGGTTTCCCAAGGACAGGGGGTGAAAGAATTCATGCCAGGCTCCGTGTTCCGGCCGCTCCCGGGAAGGTGGTGGCCCGGCCTCACTGCTTCATCTGTGAAGGCTCTGGTCAACTCCAGCCAGCCTGGAGCTCACGGTGGCCACATTTCCTGGCCAGGTGGAGGCCAGCTCTTCTCACTGAAGGTTCGCCTCAGTCTCAGCAGGAATTGCTTTTCTTTTCAGACAGAGCCGTGCTTTGTAGCCCAGGCTGGCATCAGACTTGTGCATGGCTCTCCCACCTCTGCCCCCCAAGTGTGGGGGATTATGGGAACTAATATGGTTGACTTAGAATCTTAAATATTATCTTTTTTCTGAAATGGTTTGGCTACAGCGTGAAGTGTCCCCAGACACTAGTGTGGCAACAGACTTAGGCGGGAGGGTCTTGGGATTCGCCTCACCCTGTGAGAGGACCGAGGTTTCAGGCAGACCTCTGAGGATATGTCAGAGGAGACCCTGAAGAACAGAGAGCTGTGTCCTTATGAAGGCTTTGTTTATGTGTGTACAAGTGTGTGCGTGCGTGTGAATGTGTGGGTTTATGTGCAGCAAGTGTGGGTGTAGCTGACTGTGGGGGTCAGGAGGCGGATCTCCTGGAGCCGGGGTGACAGGTGGTTGTGGTCTGCCTGACAGAATCAAACTGGGTCCTCTGCAAGAGGAGTGAGCGCTTTGAGCCATCTCTCCAGCCCCGGAGAGTGAGCTCTTAACTCTTGCGCATTCTTTGCCTTAGTGTTTCTATCCCTTCCTTTTCTCACTGCTGTGACCAGCCTTATTGGGGAGCGGTTTGTTGCGGCTTGCAGTTCTGAGGGATAAGGCTCTCCATGGCAAAGAGGCCGCTGGTCTCCCTGCCTCAGCAGCTGAGCCTCCAGCCAGGCCCCACCTCTCTGTAAGGTCTCAGAAAACGCCACCAGCTGGGAACTATGTGGGCAAATACATGAGCCCGAGTGGGACAGCCAGCCACACCGGTGGCTCCGTGGTGGTCAGAGGCTTCCGTGAAGAACTGGGCCATGCCTGGTACTCTGACAGCTGGGGGCTTTGGTGAGTTTATTAGCTTGCTAACGGGCCTGTTATGCTTTGGGGATTTGATATCCCGAGGGCTAATGAGCCACGCGGAGACATTTTATCTCCACCCCACGAGTTCTCCAGTTCTTTCATTTTCCCATTTCTCTGTCAGCGTCTTTGCAGACAGTCCCATAAAAGCCACTCGGAGGGCCTTTGACAAGGATTATAAACGCAGTCTTCCCTCTGCGGCAGCTACTGCTCATTCATGGCGTCACTTAAACTCAAATGATTTAAACTGCAGTGAAGAGGTAAATTCCAACCTTGCCTTGCTGTCAGACAGCAGAGACGTCCCCTGGGGAGGGTGTTCTCAGCACTTTTTCTTTCTTTTCTTTTTTTTGGAGACCAGGCTGGCCTTGAACTCACAGAGATCCGCCTGCCTCTGCGTCCCTGAGGGCTGGGATCCCAGGCTTGCGCCACCATGCTTGGCTAACTCTCAGCATTTTCTGACGGCCATGCTTGAGGCGAGGGTTTGGCTCTGGAATGCTCCCCCAGGAGCTCACGGACGCAGTGTTGTCAGAGGTGAGCAATCACAAGGCCTGGCGCCTGTCAGTGGATGGATTTATTTACGTGTGCGTGGAGGACAGAAGAGGGTTTTGGATCCCAGATCCCCAGGAGCTGGAGTTACAGGCAGCTGGACACTGTCACACTCGGGTGCTGGGAACTGAACCGGGGGCCTCTGGCAAGCGCGTAACTGCCGAGCCATCTCTCCAGCCTCTGTTGATGGAGCTATAGTTCACGGACTGTTGAGCTGGTGGAAACTGTGGCAGGTATAACCTAGTGGAGGAAGAAAGTCAGTGAAGGTATGTCCTGTAAAGGCCTAGCCAGTGCCTAGCCCCCCACTGTGTGTGTGACACAGATCTTGCTCTAAGCCCACAGCATCTTTGAGGTCAGGTCAGGAGCAGTATGGCAGGAAGACACCTCACTGTAGGTTGCTGGCGCCCCCTCGGCTACTTCCCAGGACTGAGACGTTGTGACCTTAAGTCTTCCAGAGCTGGAGAGATGGCTCAGTGGCTAAGAGCATTTGTTGCTCTTTCGAGGACCCGGATTCAGACCCCAGCACCCATGTGGTGACTCACAGCCATCTGCAGCTCCAGTTCTAGGGTATCTGCTGCCCTCTGCTGGCTGCAGCAGGCACCGGGCACGCAGGCAGTGCACAGACACACACACAGACAGACACTCATTCACAAAATGAAATTAAACAGTCTCTGAAAAGACCAGACGTCAGCGTGGAAAGAACAACTTTCCTCAGCTCCCTTCCTCAGTGGTGGGAACCCTCACTCTTCCCCGCACTCTCTCAGGGATGAGAGGGAAAGCCCGGCTGAGCCTCGCCAACCACGCAGAGAAACCCTCGGTACAAGTGGAACATCTCACCTGCTCATCTGGATCCTGGAGACCTTCTCTGAGCTGGGGGAGGGGATGAAGGGGAGAGCATTCAGCTGTTAACATCTCCTTCCACCCCACCTCCATCCCACCTCCGTCCCCTTCGCTGCACATACCCCACCTTTGTGAGCCCAGGAACCTGGGGACCTTGTAGCCTAATGGTCAGACCCCAGGCCAGGGCTTCCTCGCTCCCTACATAACGACTTTGCTCTGACACTGGTTTCAGGGGCTCCTAGAACTCCCAAGAACTACTTTTCTACCTTAGGTCCTTCTGTGCACAGAAGGATGTATCAGGGCCCCAGCACCCTGCCAGGATTCTTTACCTCATATCATGTGCGGGCTGTGTGTGGCCCAGGCCGGCCTTGAGCCTGTGACCCTCCTGCCCGGGTGGGGTATTGCCTCTCACCCTGCTTGCTCCTCGTGTGCTTGACCATGCCCACTGCCAGGAAGATGAGTCCCAGCGCCAGGCCACCTGCTCCGGCCAGCATCTTGTTTCGGGCAGAGTCAGACCGGACCCCTGGGGAGAAGAGACCTGAGGGTTACCGTCCCCTCCAGCAGGCACACCGCCCCTTAGTGCCTGTCGGATAGGGGTGTGGAGAATCAGTATGTGGAAGGGCTCCGAGATCTAGGCTGCTGTCTTCAAACGGTCAGGAGCGAGGGTTCTGGCAGCCGCCACTGCGGACAAGGACAGACAAAGGCTGAGGGCAGAGGCAGACCCCAGTGTGGGGCTGGGCTGTCCGCCTCCCTAGACTTCCTGCCAGGGGCGACCCCATCTCCTCAACCTCCCAGGCAGTGACAGGCTCTCCCCTCCTCTCAGAACCAACCTCGGGGGCCTCCAGGAGGACCTTGGAGGACCAGGACCCAGCGGACAAACAGCCGAGGCAGGACAGTGGCCCTTGAGCCCCGCACGGCCTGCTCTACAGCACGTGGGTCTAGAAGGGTCCCCAGAGGTGACTCACTCCACTCCACGGTGACGGGGCTCTGCAGGCTGGGGTGCTCCACGAGGCAGGTGTAGGCGTCTCCCCGCTGAGGGGTCATCTCCAGCATGACCAGGACCTGGAAGGTCCAGTCCCCGTTCCGGATCAGTTCGGTGGACACGACCCCTGCCGTTTCCTCCTGGCCGTTCCGGAACCAGCGGACCTGAATGCTGCCTGGGTAGAAATCTGTCACGTGGCAGACCAACAGGTCACGGTGCTCCAGGGTGACCTTCTTGGCGGGTGACACGTGTACCTTAGGCTGGACTAGGAGTGCGGAAGGAAGGACATACGAGAGTGTGGTTGTGTAGATTCCTTTTAGCACCCAGGAGGCAGAGGCAGGTGGATCTCTGGGAGCTTGAGGCCAGCCTGGTCCACACAGTGAGTTCCAGGATGGCCAGGGCTACATAGTGAGTGAGGCATGTTTCTCGGCTGTGAGGCTCACGCTTTGTCAAGGTGAGAAGAAAGCAGGGTTCGTTCAAATCATTTTTTAATTAATTTTTAAAGATTTTTTTATATTGTTTTATGTTGAGTGTTTTGCCTGCGTGTATGTCTGTGCATGCCTGGTGCCCTCAGAGGTCAGAAAAGGGTGTCGGTTTCCTCAGAGCTGGAGCTGCAGATGTGGGTGCTGGGAATTGAACCTGGGTCCTCTGTAAGGGTAGACAGAGCTCCTGACCACTGAGCCATCTGTCTAGCTCTCACATAATTTCTTGAAGTTAATGTACAAACAAAAGTGTTCATTAGGTTTCCAATACAATAATTTTTAAACATTTAAAATTTTAATTGTGTGTGTGTGTGTGTGTCCACGTGAGTGCCATGCTTAAGGAGGTCAGAGGTTACAGGTTACACGGGAGCTGGGAACCAGACTTGGGTCCTGTGCAAGAGCAGTGCTCACCCTCAACCCCGTCTGATACACGACAAAAGCCTGGCCGGGGCTCTCAAAAACCGTCTGTGTCACCCCCAAGCGCTCCCTGCTCACAGCAGCACCCTCGAAAGAACAAACACTCAGAGCTCCGTGTGTGCGGATTCTCGCCCATCCCCAACTTTCTCCTCCTTTGTTTTGGGGGGGGGGGCTCGGAAGCCAGCCCCGGGCGGATGTCTCTGTATCTATCTCTCTTCTTGCTCTTTCATGTCCACGTCCCCTGATGCTCAAACTCAGTCTCCGTGCTGTTGCCCACTTCCTTGATCTCACAGCCCTCCCGGGCGTTGCTACTTAGGGACACCTGCCACCAGGCTGTCCCCCCTTCATAGACCAGAGACCTGTCTGCTCCGCAGAAGGCAGCTTCCCCGCCTCAAGACCTTTCAGTGTCCAGTTTCCACACAAGCACCCTGAGGATGGGGTACATTCCTCACAATTCCATCGCCTCCTCCAGCTCCTGGGCCTCGTGTCCAGCAGCCCACACTGCTGGCCTTCTGCAACTCACGGCAATGTTCTCTTAGAGCCAATGTGCCCACTTTGTTTTTGTTGGTTTTTTTAGAGATAGAGTTTCTCTGTGTAGCCTTGGCTGTCCTGGACTCGCTTTGTAGACCAGGCTGGCTTTGAACTCAGAGAGATCTGTCTGCTTCTGCCTCCCAAATGCTGGGATTACAGGTGTGCGCCACTTTATATTTTTTAAAATTGTGCACAATCTTCTTTTTTTTAAAAAAGAATTCATGTATTTTTATTTGTAATATGCCTTGGTGTTTTGCTTGCATGTGTGCTTGTGTGAGGGTGTCAGATGCCCTGGAACTGGAGTTACAGACAGTTGTGAGCTGCCATGTGGGTGCTGGGAATTGAACTCGGGTCCTCTGGAAGAGCAGTCAGTGCTCTTAACTGCTGAACCAACTCTCCAGCCCAGACTTTGGTCACTTTTATGACCTGACAGTGCCTCAGTCCACTCCTTCCTGAGTTGTCATTTATGAATTTCGATGCCTCCTTTCCGTTGAGCTCCGGGACTCGGGGTTAGTCATTTCTGTGCCTGAAGGCATGAGACCCCTTGCCTGCAGTATACGGCTGCCCTCTAGAGGGCTCTGCAGCTAAACCTATAGGCTCAGAGGACTCACCTCTTTTGTGGCTCAAAATAGATTGGAGAAAGACAAAAGATGTTCAGTGTCCTAAGGCTGCGAGCTGAATCAGCCGTAAATATCCATGTGATATTTCCAGAGTCTCGCCAGTTTACACACTAGAAATTTAGTTCAGAAGGGTACGGTGGTGCACTGTGAATCCCAGGCTAAATATCCAAGGCTGAAAGGAAGAAAATCTGTAACTCAAGGGCAGCCTAGTTACAGACATGATTTCTCAAGCGGGGTGGGATGGAGAGATGGGATGGAGAGATGGCCCCGCAGTTTAGAGTGTCCAGATGATCCTGGTTCAATTCCTAGCATGCACAGGGCAGCTCACAACCGCCTATAACCCCACTCCAGGGAATCTGACGCCCTCTTTTGGCCTCCACAGGCACCGGTACAGCTGTTGTGGTACACAGAGAGACATACATGCAGGAAAAAAACACCCACACACATAAAATAATATAGAATGTTTAAACAGAAGAAAAGAAGAAATTTCATAGTCATTTTGTTTTCTTTGTTAATTATTTGCTTTAAATTAATTTTAAGATTAAACTGCAAAGGTACTGCTCTCTCATGATCTGTGCCATAACTACTGCTCCTAGGGTGATAACATTTCCTTATCTGCTGCCCCAACTCCAGCCTTTCCTCTTCCCACCTCACTGAAGACTCTGAAAACAGAGCTCCAGCCTTGCCTTTTCCTACTTCAACAGCAATTCTGTGCGGTAATTCTTGAGGCTGGTGGGTGGTGAGTTCTAGTCCAGCCTGGGCTACACAGTGACAATGCCTGGGGTTTGGATGCCCTTACCTGGTTAACGTCAACACGGGGACAGTAACCGATTTCAGAGCTCAGCCCTGCCGAGGGTGGGTCTCTGGGCAGGGATTCTGGGGGAATCTGGGACACTCTGCTCCGAGCGATTCACCCAAACTCAGGCTGGGACCCAGGGCTCCGTGCAACCTGGCAACGGAGCCCGCTGAAGGATGCCAGCGAGCGACTGTGGACACAGCGTGGGCTGTGGACATCACCTTACATAGCTAACTCCGGGCACTGTCCGTCCTTCCCAACCAGTCCTGAGTCCCACTCATTCCCAGGGGTCAGGGCTCAGGGCTCAGCTGACTTGCGCTTTCCAAAGAGAGTGTTAGAGGCGTGTCCCCACAACCTCTCCCCGTACCTGCGGAGCCTCCCCCTTCACCCCGGGCTGAGGCTCCCTCACTCGGAAAGCTGAGGGGAGGAGCCGAGGCTCTTTCCTCCTGGCCTTCAAAGTCCACCTGGTCTGGCCGCCTTCTCTGGCTCCTCCGCCCTCCAGCTCCCGTCGATTGACCTTCTGAAGCTGTTGGTCGCACTGGCTGCTAGGGTCTGTCCCCCGACCTCAGGGTCTGCGCCCCTTCTCTGCCCCGGGTTTTGCTTCACTTCATGGGCTCCTCACAGGGACTGCTCTTGGCCACCGTGGAGGCCACTGTCCCCAGGACTCAGCCTCGTTCTCTTTCCTGATTGGTCTTCCTAGATGAACTCACCGGCAGACCCTCCTTGAGCCCTGAGCCTCCATTGCCCCCTCTGTGTCCCCTGCCCGGCCTGCGCCACCGGGAGGTGGCACCGTCTCCCCACGGCCCCTGCGATTGTCCCCTGTCGCCCCCGCTCCCTCACCCCACAGCAGGCTGCTTACCAGGCGACGCTCTTGACATTGCCCGCTCTGCCAGCCTCTGTGCCCACGTCCCCGCGCCACCCCGCGGCCGGCCTGGCCTCGCGCTCCTGCCGGCCCTCACCTCGGCGCTTCATGGTGAAGCCCTGGTTGAGCTCGTAGTTGTGCGCGCACACCGTGTCCGTCTCGGCCCTCCGGCGCTCCAGGTAGTCCTTCTGGCTGTTCCAGGCCGCGGCCCACGGGCGCCCCATGGCGGTGAGCGCGCGGAACTCGCCCACGGCGCTGTCGAAGCGCATGAACTCCTCGCGGTTGAAGACGCATCTCATAAGGTAGCGCTGCGTCCCGTCCCTCTCCGCGTGGCACTCGTGCAGCGCGCGCAGCAGGTGGTTCTCTGCGGGCACCGGGGGCGTCAGAGTCCGGTAAGTCCGGTTTTAAAAACGATTCGCTTTTCTTTATTTTTGAGGGTTTCAGACGTGGCTATAATTAGACGTGCTCGTGTCTACCCCCGACGGCCCCTCCCTACTTCGTGTTCTCTCCTCCCAACACTCTTTTCCTTCTCCCTTTGTCTGTCCCCTATCTTCCTCTTCCTCCTCTCTCCCTCTAAGTTCAGGTAGCGCCCCATGTGTGCATGGCCGTGGAGCCCCGCCCTGAAGCATCATTGACTCAAACCAGACAGGGAGGACACCCTGGGAGCAGAAAGAGAAACTGGTAGCCAGGGGCCAGGCTTCAGTAGCCAAACTGTAAGCTGAGACAAAGGGCAAGCTCGTCACAGCCTGTGCGCAGGAAGGCGGCGGGTCCTATCTGGTCAGGGCTCGGTGAACTCATTTTTTTCCGACAAGGTGGGGAATTGGCAGGGCGTGAGGAGGACCAGGGAGCCAACGATGTGTGCAGTCGGCCACTGGGGACATCTGTGCGTCCCTGACTAATAGAGGCCCCTTCGTTCTGCTGGTTTTCCCACAACTGAAGGCCTAAGCCGGAGGCTGGTTTGTTAGTCCTTCCGGCATGGGACTGACACGGCCACACATTCAAAAGGGAGTTGTTATGGAGCCGGGCAGAAGCCGGGTGAAGGAGCACCGTCGGCTTCAGACCCCAGAGCTCTCACAGTGGCTTACAACCGTCGGAACGCCAGCCCCGGGAGAGCAGGGCCCGAGTCCTGTGTCCACTAGCAAAATGTACACACACACACACACACACACACACACACACACACACACACACTCTTCCAGCATCTCCCTGGGCCTTGGTTTTCTCACCAGTGGTGTCAGGGTCAGGTTCACAGGAGATAAAGGGACTTTCTGCTGAGGGGCGACCAGCCCCTGTGAAGGGCTGGGACACCGAGGGGAAGGTCACTGAGGAGAAGGGGCCTGAGTCGGGTGACACTTTACTTGGGGCCACGGGGAACCTCACCGGCACAGAAGTGGAGCTACAGGATAGGGTGGGGCCTTGGGAGACATGCGGACACCTCTGTGACCCCTGTATCTGTGGGGACTCCTGCCTGAGTCGGCCATCTTGGACACAGTCAGATGTCACCTGCTCTGGGAGCCTTCCCTTCCCCTAGCAAGGTGCCGTCCCTCCTGCACCGATGTCTTGACTCTTCCTGCGCTGACCTGCTTCCTGTCCTGTGCGCTGAGAATGCAGACGTAGATCCATACAGATAAGAAATAAAGGGAAACTTCTTAACCTAAAGGTTAATGCGCTGTTTCACCTTTAAGCACCCCTATGGGAAGATTCGGTCTTAAAAGGTGTGGACTGGAGCGGGGCAAAGGGGCGCACGCCTGCGGTCCCAGTGCTCGGGGAGGCAGAGGCAGGCAGATCTCTGTGAGTTCAAGGCCAGCCAGGTCTACAAAGTGAGTCCAGGACTCAGGGCTACAGAGAGAAACAATGTCTCAAAAAACAATAACAAACAAACAAGCAAAAGGTGTGGACGCGATGTGTAGAAACGCCAGCTAAAACTCACGCTGGAGAGATGGCTCAGTGGTAAAGAGCCCCAGCTGCTCTTCCAGAGGAGCCGGGCTCGACTCCCAGCACCACATGGCAATTCGAAACTGTCTGTAACCCCAGTTCCAGGGGACCCGACACCCTCACACAGGCAGTCAAAACACCCAAGTACATAGAAATAAGTAAAACGCTGCACGGTAGCTCTTACCCGAAAACCCAGGGCTAAGGATGCAGAGACAGGAGGATTGCTAAAAGCTCCGTCTAGGGCGGGGGTGGGGCACCGTCCTGGGCCTCGATGCTGAAAGTCACCACAGCCACCCCCAGTGGGCCCTCCTGTTCCTAGAGGCACTGGCCGGGTAACCGTCACACAAGGGACTGGGAGCCCTCCCTCTCCTCTGGGAGCCACCGGCAGCGTGGGTCTGCTTCTGCGTGAGCCTCTGTGCAATGTCTGTTCTGACACGGGGAAGCGAAGACGGGTGTTTCCAGGCCCCACCCCCTCTAAAAATGAGCATCTCGAAGTAAATTCCCCTTCTTTCCCGCCCAACGACAGGCCCCAACTCGGCCGTCTGGATCACAGGATAAAACGGCGGGTGCGTTTGTACCACCAGAGGGCGCGCTCGGCCGGTTCACTAATGCGATTTACAACAGCAGCCAGGGGCTGTGGGCAGCTGGGGGACCCGACGGAGGTTCCATTCCCAGCACAAACAACAACCACACGACAGCAAACTAAATAATCCGCTGCTTCACTTAAAAGGGTAACAGGGCGTGGTGGTGCATGGGTGTAATTCCAGCTTGAGAGGCTGAGGCAGGGGCATTGTGGGGAGCTGGAGGCCAGCCTGGACTCTCACCCTAAGAGAAGGAGGGTATCAGAAGTCAAAGGGCCACGTCTTCTCGTCCCTCGGCTTCTGAGGCTGCACCAGGAGCACACCGTGCGCTCCGGCGCGGTTGACACGAGACGCCGGTTAATCGACTAACTCTCCTACTGTGTGGATCACGCCAGATGAACTGGGAGGAGCTAAAGCCAAAGACGGGAGCCCAGCGCCCAGACAGCCTGCACTGCTGTAGCTACAGATACTGGGAGGCCCCTGAGGTGGGGAGCTGGAGTGCAGGAAGAAATGTGGGGTGCCCTGGGGTTTCCCTGGGTCACCATCCTGACAGCTGCCTCATCCTGCTGGGCTCAGGAGACCTGCACAGCTGGGGGGAGAACCTGCACAGCTGGAGAGAGGGCCTGCACAGCTGGGGGAAGGACCTGCACAGCTGGGGAGAGGGCCTGCACAGCTGGGGGGAGGACCTGCACAGCTGGGGAGAGGGCCTGCACAGCTGGAAAGAGGGCCTGCACAGCTGGGGGGAGGGCCTGCACAGCTGGGGAGAGGGCCTGCACAGCTGTGGGGGGAGGACCTGCACAGCTGAGGGGAGAGGGCCTGCACAGCTGGGGAGAGGGCCTGCACAGCTGGGACAGAGGACAGAAGCGGAGGGTGGGAAGGCTTTGGGGCATTCTAGAAGCCAGACCCACACTCTGCCCGCAAGCCAGCCCTGCCTGCCTCCATGGCAGATGTCCCCACTCAGCCCAGCCCAGGTCCATCATTCCCAGCACCCCGCCCCCATGCACCGCTCTCTCCCACTATCTCCTTGTCTGCTCGCCCCACTGGAATGTGGAGCTTGTCATCTTAATCCATCAGTCTTTGTCTCTCCTCATTGGTCAATAAACAGTGCTTTTGTAAGTAAGGAAAATAATTGAAACTTTTCTTTGGCGATGCTTAGCTTTTGTGAGTGGACGCTATCCACGAAGCAGGCAGATGTACTGTGTGGGTCTCCTTCACCTGCTGCCATTATTCAGTGTCCCAGACACCCGCTAAGGCCCGTCCCTGCTGCCATCACTCTCTGGTCCCATCTTGAAGGCAAAAGTTCCCACAGCTGAGCTGGTCCCTTAGCCGGGGCTCATGGCCTCCCCTGGCCACCAAGGACTCCTTCTCTCTCCATCCTCAGCAAATGCAGCTGACGTCATGGAGAAGGCCCGGGGCTCCAGGGCTGAACAGGCCCATCCTAGGATGTGGTGAGCCTAGGGTGTCTCACGACTCGCCTCCTGAGACATGCTGGGCCCTGCCAGCCATCCTGTCACACGAGCCTCGGAGATGCCAGGTAGGTCCTCCCTCAGCAGCTGTCTCCCCCGGTGAAGCCAAGACTAGCGAGGCTCTCAGATAGCCGGGCTTCAACAAGAACGCTGTCCGCTGTCCGGCCCAGCCACAGCCCCCCCATCTCTCAATCAGGTGAGCGCCGGCACAGCCTCCTGACACCCTGGAGGAGAACAAGCCGCTCTCTTTAAACACTGACTCAGCCGGTGACCCGAGTCCCCTCAAGGCTGTGATGGGGATGTGGGGAAACCCAGGAGGCTGAGTCTTCCGACCTCTCCACAAATTTATTCTAGAACTCTAGGCCGTGGTTTGCAGGATGCGGCAGGCGAACCTCTTAGCACTTTTGCCCATTCACTGTTCCTATGACCCTGAGAGGGGCTGAACAGCCACGGGGAAGGGAGCCTGCTCTTCTAGCCGGGAAGGAAGGACCCGGGCTGTGGGGGAGCCCGCCTGTATTTCCCCAAGTGTGGTCCCATGAGGGGAAGGTCCTAACCCAGCTTACCTGGAGGGGCTCCGCCCTGGACCTCTCTGCTCAGCAACACCATCAGAGCCACCGTCCAGGGGGCCACAGGGACCCTCGGGACCGTCATGGAGCTGGAAGGGCAGGCGAGGAAGTTAGCCGTGGATGAAGGCCTCCTTACATCCTGGATGAACAGCAGAGAATCTGACTCAAGTTGTCTGCCACAACCCCAGAATTGGACAGTCTGAGGAAAGGACCAATGAAGCTCGAGCTTCCTATGCGTCATCAGTCACTGGGCAGATGTGAGAGGGCTGACAGCCTCGTGTGATTCAGGTGGGATGACATTAGAGGCTCCATAGAAGGGGGAAGAGTTTCACGGGAGACAGGCCCACGGGGCATCATCCGGTTGGGAACGGGCAGGCCCACCCCATCGACCCAAGCAGGAAACACTGACTGGATGTCCCGCACTGCCTCCATGACATTGATCTCGCACATGAGCTTCTTTGTCACCCAGTCGAGGGCAGCCACGTGACCCCGACGGCCTCCTAAAGCCAGGTGTCTGTCGGAGGTGAAGCAAAGGCCGAGAGTTAATGCAGGGAGCATGCTGACCCTGACTGGAATGATTCAGGAGCCCCATCCCAGGCCCTCGACAGACGAGAGGGCCAGCAGCAGCCAGACTGGCTGCATAGCTGAGGAGGGCACAGCTCCAGGAGCTGAGGAAACACAGCCAAACTTAGTTCAGAGTCACTAAACAGGCTAGACAGATGGCTCCGTCAGAACCGTGCTTGTGTAAGGACTTAATGGCCTGAGCCTGGGTCCCTGGCACACATGGAACCCCAGGGCCAGGGAGGCCGAGGCAGGCGGGTCTTGCTGGACACCAGTTCAGGGAGGAGCCTGCTCGGAAACACGGACTGGAGAGAAGGCTCCCCCGTGAAGAGCACTTGCCGCTCTTGTGGGAAGCCTGGGTTCGGCTCCCAGCAACCACATGTCTACTCACAGCCATTGGTAACTCCAATGCCTGGGGATCCAGCACCCTCTTCCGGCTTCCCTGGGCACCAGGCATGTGGTACACATACAACACACAGGCAAACACTCGTACACATAAGACAGACAAAAATAGAAAGAATGGTGGAGAAAACGTCAGAGGTGACCGACGTTGAGGGTGGCGGTGAGGCCGGGAACTCGGGAAGACTGCGTCTATCAAAGAGCAGAAGCCGGCACACGGTGTCAGGACGGCAGGCGTGTGCCTCAGCAGCTCAGGGCTCTGCTCCTGACAGTGCCCGGCGTGAATCTTCCCGTCGTGAAAACTCATCCTCCTCTTCAGCCCCCTTTACCCAGCAACAGCCAGGTCAGCTCTGCGGCTTCTCTGGTTGGCTGGCCCAGCCCTGCCGGTGGCCCCTGTCTTTTTGTCTCCGTGGCCAGCTTCAGAAGCCAGGCTTCTGAGTTTCACGCGTCCCCATCCTGCCTCGGTTCCTCATCATTGTCCATCAGCTGTGGATCCAGAGAGAGAATGCTCCAGACTAACGCTGAGGCCCTGGGAGTCTTCCTGGCCTTTCTGCTTAGTCTCCCAGGATCTGGGGTCATCAAAGGTCAGGAGGAAGGGGTGGGGCGCAAGGTGGGAACAGACAGTCATTTGCTTTCTTCAGAATGACAGGTTTTGCGGGACTGCGTCCATTTCCCTCCTGTCTCTCCTCTCCTCACTCCCTTGTGTGAAGTCCACTTGGTTTCATTCGACCTAAAATAAACGAACCCTATCAAACAGCCCAGCCACCATCACCATTTACACCTGTGAAAATAGTTTTACCTTTCTCTGAGAGATGAAAACACTGAAGCCAAACGGGTTAAAACATATTCCAAAGTAGTTCAGCCAGTCAGGAGCCGAGGTTCAAACCCACTCACAATACCTGACGACACGAGGACTTTACAGCCTGGTCCCGAACCCAGCCAGGACCCCACAGCCCAGGCCTCACCCCCTGCTCTGTGTGGCTGCCTCTAAAGGGCTCTAGGGAAGCTGTGTCTGGGCCTTAGGAGAGCATTCCTCCTGCCTCCCAGGACCTGGTGACCGTCCTAGGATCAGGTGGGCGGCTCGCACCTTCTTGCCTCAAGGGAGCAGAGGCTCCTGATTGTTTGTTTTGTTTTGTTTTCCAAGACAGCGTTTCTCTGTGTAGCCCTGGCTGTCCTGGACTCGCTTTGTAGACCAGGCTGGCCTGGAACTCACAGAGCTCCGCCTGCCTCTCCTCCCGAGTGCTGGGATCGCAGGTGTGCTCCACCGTGCTGGCTCACGATTTTGTTATGGTGAGTCAGGTCCGCAGGGAGCCACGAGGCTCTTAGTACATGGGGCGGTGTGGACTTGGATGACCGCAAAGCCCTGGCTGGAGATTGCAAACGTGGCGGTGCTGCCTCCTCCTGCTGATGATAGGAGGCACCAAGCGAGGCCACTCACTGCAGGCGCAAACTTGGGAACTAAAACAGAAACGCAGCAGCCGGCCACCCCGAGCCACAAGGCAGTGGGCTCTCCACCACCCTCCCCACCCCGCCGCCTTCTACTGTCCGCCTTTCCTGTGACGCGGAAGCTGGCGCGCCCACCCCTCCACCTTGGGCCTTCGTGAGTTTAAACCCGTTTCACGTCCGCGGCCCTAGAACTGGGAGCTCTGGGGAGAAGTCTCCCCAGCCACACGTGGCTCTGTGACCTGAGGCAGGTCACTGCCGCGCTTCCTGGGCTGCGCCTAGTGTTGCTGTGACTAGCAGATGCTGGCGCTCTGCAGGGGCTCCTGTGGAGTCTCGGGGCGACCGCCTGGGGGTGAGCCCGGGCGGCTGGGCTGCCGGATCCTAGCTCTGTCCCCTCGGCCCCAGGCCCCGCACAGCCTGCTGTTGGCTGCTGCTCTTTCTCCCTCTTTTCCTGCCTCTTGTGACTTTGTTTACAAGCCCAGCCATCCCCCTGCCCCACCACTCACACAATGGCGCTCACACTGCTGCTGCTCTCATCTTTCTCCGTCTCACCTACACAGCCGACCACGTGGCAATGTACGACATATTCGCCCAGATGTGGCAGCCGTCGGGTAACTGTGTGTATGAGTTTGACGGCGACGAGCATTTCTACGTGGATCCGGACAGGGAGGAGACGGTCTGGGGCCTGGAGGACTTCAGCAAGGCCTACGCCTTTGACGCCCAGGAGGCTCTGTCCTACATCGCCAGCCTGAAGAACAACCTGAGAGCCCTGATACAGAGACACAACTTCACCCAGGCCCCCAGTGGTGGGGTCTCTTGTTTCTTCTTGCTCCGACACCCACTGGGGAGGAATGGAGGGCCCCGGCTGCACACTCAGAAAGGGAGACAGATGCCCTCTGCCGAGGGACCCTCCCTGGAGTGGTCGTGGGCTCCCTCTGTACAGTGGGGGGAGGGGTGTAGCAGCTCCTCCCCTCTTCCCACTCTAGAGAGGCTGGTCAGTGGAGGAGGGGTCTGCCAGCCCTCCATCTGAGCGCATCGGTGACATGACTTCTTAGCCTGAGACAGAAGGCACCGGGATGAGAACTCTGACCCAGGACTCACCGGTTCCGTCTCTCCCCAGAGCCTCCCGAGGTGACCGTGTTCCCCAAGAAGCCGGTAGAGCTGGGCCAGCCCAACGTCCTCATCTGCCACGTGGACAGGTTCTTCCCCCCAGTGCTCAACGTCACGTGGCTGCGTAACGGGCAGCCGGTCACGGAAGGGACTTCGGAGACCACCTTTCTGCCCAGCACGGAGCTCAGGTTTCACAAGTTCCACTACCTGACCTTCGTGCCCTCCCCTGAGGACGTGTACGACTGCAGGGTGGAGCACTGGGGCCTGGAGCAGCCGCGCCTCAGTCACTGGGGTAAGCACCACCACCACCCCCACCACCCCTGCTCCCAGGACCCGGGGCCCCGGCATAGATGCTCCGTACTAACTGCGGCTCTCGGTTTCCCTCAGAAGTGGAGGAGCCAGTCCAGGCGTCCGAGGAGATGGAGACCGTGTTCTGCGCCCTGGGCCTGGTGGTCGGCCTGGTGGGCATCGTCACTGGCAGCGTGCTCGCCGTGAGGGCCCTGCACGTCATCCGTGCCCCCCAGGGCCCCCTGTGAGAGACTGGGCCTGAAGCGGGCACACTGGTACCCCCGGAGTGCCCCGAGCCTCTGCACACAGCCCCTGTCATCCCCATCCGCCTCCTGTGTGACGGCGCTGACGTCCATGTGGCTTGACGCACGCCTACAGCATCTTATGTGCAAAAGAGCCTTCAGCTTATGGCACCTTCAGCGAGGCCACCCAGCTGGACCATCTGGGTCCAAACAGCGTCATCACTGACCTGTCCCCCTTTGTAAAGAAAGGGACCAAGTTCAGCCGAGTTCTAGGTCCGTCTGTCCTGCACGTGCTTACAGGACGAACAGCTTCCGGCCTCTACTTGGACCCACTGATGGCAAAGCTCTCGTTAAGATTATCTTGTGGGCTTCTAGTTACCAAAACACATTTCAGACACTTGCGGGTTATTAAATTCTCTTCCCACCGGATAGTGACCTCTGTGTGATGACTGGGCATCTCACCTGCCTTCACCCTGGACCTCTGGGGCCAAGGTCTAGTCACCAGTCCACAGGGGTCCTACAGACTCTCAGGGCACCCCCCGTTCTGATTCTGGGTTCATTTGTGCCTTTACTCTCAGGCCTAACCTCTTCCCCCACACGTACGTCAACACGCCAGTGGATTTAGTGACTTTCCCTTTACATACAGTCACGGCAGGCAGCGCGTGGAAGCGTTCCGTGCGCCTGCGGCCTGGGTGAGCTCAGCTGGCCTTGGGTGACGCGTCTGATCTTGAGCCGCTGCTTTCAGCTGTCCAGTGTGGCTGCTCTGACATCCACCTGTCTGTCCACCCTCTGGGTACCTGGCTTGTGGCTGATTCTCGTTGCTGCTCTCACACGGACCCGCATCTCTGGGATGCATGGGCCCTGGGGAGCAGTTACAGGGGCGGGGCCTGCGGCTCCTCCCCGACGGTGCTGTCCACGCAGCAGCCCTGCTGGTGCTGATCTCAGGTCCCAGACCTGAGGTCTCCTGCCGCGCCCACAGCCGCGCCCACAGCCGCGCCCACAGCCGCGCCCAC